GGCCTTATTAAATTTCTCATATCCATGTTGGCATATCCACTAAGGTGTCATTGTCTAGTTCTTGTTGAAGTAATCATGTTCCTGAGATTTCTTGGGTGTAGCTTCCCCATCATATCTAGAAGACACAGTCTTATAGCAGATGTGTTGGTTCTCTGGCTCTTACTATCTCTCTGCTCCCTCTCTGAGATGTTCCCTCAGCCTTAAGTGTAGTAGCTGTGCTGTGGATTTATGAACCAGGGCTGAGCATCTCTGGTTAGATATTCCCTTCATTTTGATGAGTTGCATTTTGTAACTATCCCTTTCATCTGACAAGGGACGAAAGCTACATTTAACTGTAACTATAAGGGTAGGCACTTAGAATGCAGTTAAAAATTATACTGGTTATACTTACTATACTTATTATTATACTTACTATATAAATAGTAAGTTATGCTCACTGGAAGTGGAAACTGTAAGTTCTGGCCACTGGTAATTGGCTCGGTTCATAGGACCAGGCATAAATTCTGTCCTGTGAATGGGCCTTGAGTCCAATCAGACAGCGGGGTGGGACTATTCACTGCTTTCCTCCCTTGGCAGCTTGCATATCACCTACCAGCCTTTCAGAGCTGGTCTTCAGGGAGGAGCGTTTGGATTATTTCAGCTCCAATCCTCTGAGTCCCGTGTCCAAAGTGTGTGGTGTCTTCAGCATAGGGATTTACCATCAACCTCTGAGAGGCAGCCACGGGCAGCAGCGATAGCCTACATTGTTTTAGGAGTCTCTTGGACTTCACTCACCAACAACTGGAAAGGAATTTTCTCATAACTGGTGTGGGGGAGGGAGTTAGATAGTTTATGGCTTTGGGGGATGCATTATCATTCCAAGTGGCTTGTTTATTATATATAATTTTAGATAAACATGATACGATTCCCTGCGGCTAATTAAACATCTGTAGTGTTATTTCCCCTCCCCCTTCCCATCTGTATTGTCTTCCCTCCTCCCTTAAAGCCCCACCCCCTTTCCCCATGTCCTCGTCATAGCACCTGTGTCCTGCCATCCGAATCTCTAAAGCTGTCTCCTCAATGGTCCCTTTTTGTTTTCCTGGCATCTGTGTCTATTCCAATTTATATGTTCACGTCTAAAGATTTGGAGCAAGGATCTAAAGATGAGGGAGAAAGAGAGAGGGAGAGGGAGAGGGAGAGGGAGAGGGAGAGGGAGAGAGAGCGAGAGCATGTGGCACTTGTCTTTCTGGGTATGGGTTACCTCATAGAATATATTTTCCTAGTTCCATCCATTTACCTGAAAACACCATGATTTGGTTTTTCTTTACAGCTGAATAGTATTTTCTTGTGTATGTGTACCACATTTTTATTATCTATCCATCAGTTGAAGGGCATGTAACTTTGTTTCCCTTTCCCAATGATGATAAATAGATTGACAATGAACATGGCTGAAGAAATATCCATGGAGCAAGATGTTGAATGAGTCATATGGTAGACTTATTTCTTAGCTTTTGGAGACTCACCCTGATTTCCAGGTGGCTTCGCTAGTTTGCAGTCCCAGCAACAGTGAACAAGGGCTCCCTTTTCTCCACATTCTCTCTAGAATTGGTTGTTGGTGGTTTTTGTTGATCTTTGGCATTGTTATTGAAGTAGAAGAAATCTCAAAGTTGTTTGATTTGCTTTTTCTTTTCTCTTT